GCAAACGAACAAACATTCTATCAGCATTGCGTGAACGTTAAATTTGAACTTTCCCACTGTTTTGGTGGCGTTGCATCTAACATTAAGTCAATATTTCAATGTCGTTTATCGCAATACTCAGGTGAACATTGAAATTCAACACTGGCTGAACGTTGGGCCAACATTGCAATGTCACTTATTGGAATGCTCACTCCCACCTTAGTAGCACCCCAACGTTAGGTCAATCACGACGGCTAAGGAAGATATATATTTCTCTGAATGTACTAATTTTAGTACTTTCCAAAGAACGGTCATCCTTTCCGTGCACTGCGGAATACTCAAATCCTCCTTTCCTTCGCTAGGGATAGATTGGTTGTTCTGCTTCCCAGAAATCGAGTTTGTAAAAACTCGTATCGAAGAATCCTTGATCCAGTTGCAAAGATTTCTCATAGTGAGTATGAGCTTGTTTATCACTTGGGCTCCATGATTCTGTCTCGAATATATGGATAATAAATGATTAAGTGTCCGATTTTATTAATTTATTGATTGTTATAATGAGACAAGGAAAAACATATGGTGAAGTACTAAACACTCCTGTGAGGGATGACACCATGGAAAGAAGGTAGTGTACTTTTGTGTACTGTGCGAAAAGCGAGACTCATATCTCCATCTAGTGGCCTGGAGGAGAACTTCAACATTTCCTCACAAAAAAACTCCTCCGTGCAAATTGAGCACATTGGATCATCGCGTCAGTCTGATATTGGATCGATGATGGAATGGCAATATTGGGAAGCCAATATTGAGCCAATATTTAGCTGGTATTCGCAATAATGGCAAGATGTATATAGACATTGTGCTCAATGTTGGTCCAGCATCGAGCCAATATTTGGTGTTAGCAGGGTGGTTACACTGGATAGGTTCTTCCCCAGTAGCACCTCAATATTGGGTCAATATATACCGCCAAGATATACATCTTGGCTCTACATTGGCACCCATTTTGGACCATTATTGGCTTTTCTACACGGAGAAACATTGGGCCAATATTGACGTTAATATTTTCCATAATTTTTTTTCCAATGGAGGCATTCCAATGATGAAGGCATATCACTATGCTGCACTAGTACGGCGTGTATCAGAATAGCCCCTTGCCCATGCGCAAGTCTCTCCCGTGCATAAGCAGGAAACACGGAACATTGCAGAGGTTGACTGGCCCTGAACGTACTAATTGTAGTACGTTTCAGGAGGTCAACTCCTTATTGTTTTACACAGTACTTGTGATTTCAGTCCCATCATGTCGTTCTCAGGATGAAGAAACAGAGGATTGATTTCACAAATACTTTCCACAATCTAAGTCTCCTTTCGGATGGAGTAAGACCGTTTTTTTATGAATACCTTTTTTATTGTTAAAAAACATACAATGCAATGTAACAAGAGGGGAATATGAAATCAAAAGGAGCCCAGCTGGCCGTAAGGGCCTTATCAGGTGCCCCAACATGATTTTTCAGCCCCTCTCAAGAGGCAACTATTCAATTGTAGGAGGTGAGGTTGGCGATTGATTTGAGTGTGCTCCCCTCTTTTTCCTGAAGGCTTTTGGCGAGAAGAGAAGGGAGAGGGGCGTATTTGCAGAATTCATCCAGATGCCTCTTTTCTTCTTCCTCTTTCTCCAGTTCACATTTGAGATGAGCTTCTTATGAATTTTGAGTGCATATGTGCTTCTCCTGCGACTGTAGAAGTCCTCCCTCCCAAAAGGACCTTCTCTCTTCCATATCTTTTGCCGCATCAGGTGACGTTTACTGCCGATTCGGGGGACTTTCCGGGCATGGCTTCGACGACCGACCAGGTGAATAGCTCTCTGAGAGCGGTGTAGGCGACCGTTGGGGTGAGCACGTCTCCTCGTTGTTTCCTTCTTGATCCTGTCCTTGTGTTTTCCATTGGACGCTCCATTCTTCTTTTTTTTTTTTGCAGCATGGTGTTGATTCTTGAGCGAAGGGAATAGCAGTATTTTCCCCTCAACCAAGGTCCCAATTTCTTCCTCCTCATCTATGTTTACATGGACTTCAACTTCCTCCTTGTTTGCGCAGGGTAGATGTGAAGATTCCTTCATGTTCTAGCTCCACAGCTTCCACCTAGTGCCCCTTGTTCGAGCACAGGTCCGACTTGGAACGTAGTTACAATAGGTGGTGTTCTCATATTCATCAGCAGCATACGTAGATCCACACCATGAGCTAACATTCTCAGGTACTAACAGTGGCGAAGTGTTGCCTTGGGCTGTTGGCACATCTTCCATCTCTTCTTCAACATTCACAGTAAGGTAGGGCAGTTCAACATACGGTGGTGTGGTTGAATTAGAGATGCTGGCTGCAGGGAAGCGAAGATCCACAAACTGCTTCCGGTTCAGCCTCAGGGCATAGAGAGGTTGCAGATTCGAGTCCGATATCCATGCTTACAATAGCAGCCTAGAAAAAGATGAGACCTATTCGTTTAACTTTTAAAGAATGAAAACTTAAAGAGCTCAAGGAAAGAATTGCTTTTGCAGATAGACTCACATTTCACTCCTCTGAATAAGGGAGGGGGGGGCCCCCGCTCCGGGGTGCCCCCCCCCCCCCTCCCTTATTCACCCGGGGGTTGGCACACTACGTTGGACCATAATAAGCTTCAGACATTTTTGCTATCTGGATGTCGTATGGCTCAATCTTTCCAGGATTCCGGAGAACCTGTATTTTTTTCGTGACTCAAGTCAGTCTCTAGTGTTAGGGATAATGCCATCATGCAACCAACGACGTAGCGTCGGGGGGGCCCACTTTCTCATCCGTGCTACCCATCTGGTCGAGGCTGGTCGACATTTCGCTGGCCAATCTTCAAATACCATATTTTCTGCACCCAGGTGATACTCTAAACCAGTGATGAGCAACCTTTTTTGACTGCAGGCCGCAAGTTAAGCAAGTTAACCTTTTAGGTTCTCTGCGGGCCGAATCTATTTTTTTATTATTACTGAATTGCCTTTATGCCTGCTGAGTACCAACATAATCCTAAGCCTGGCTTAGTAAACCAGGTACTAAAATGGTAGATTCTAATGATACGCAAATAACTCATTTAAACTTTTTTCCACCTTATTACTGAGAAAAATATCAAGCAAGCCGCTTGCTCAGAGAGCAGTGGTACACTGACCAAGAAGAGAGTGAAGGGATATTTGCAATTGTGACGAAAATGTAGCTTTCATGTTTTAATTCTTGCTTCCGTTTCTCCGGCAGTGGGCAACGGAATCCTTGAGCGCACGTGCGCATTACTCCGAATGGCAGATGACAGGAAATAAATAATTCAGTTGGCAAAGCCTCGCAGGCCGCACACCAGGACCTCGCGGGCCGCGGGTTGCTCATCACTGCTCTAAACCGTTTCCCAGAGGAACAATAATCAAATCGTTGCATTCGGGGATGGTGCCACAGCAAGACAAAGTACTCCATGCACTTCGTCGTCTCAATCTTACTCTGCCTACTGTGAGCACAGGCGTCTACGTAGTGATTTTTTTATTTCAAAGTTCATTTTCAAAGGATGCTTTCCAGCTTCGATTTTTCAATTTTCAATTATAGATTTTGACTATTGATATCTTCTTCTAACCAGCGGCGTAGCTGGTGTGTGTGTGTGTGGGGAAGGGGGGGGGGGGAAATCTAAGCAGATTTCCCCCCCCCCCCCCCCAACACACGCGCACTTTTTTCATCCACGCTATGCTTATGCACGGAGATTCCTCACCTTCACCTTTCACAATATGCGCATTAATCGCACGGTCAATAGTTTTCAACAGGGAAGGGCACTAGTATCAATCGTCCAAAGATTTAATGTAGAGAGGGTCTTAACATAAATACGCCAACGCCATATCATCACCAACGCCATCTGTATTACACTTTTGGATAAAATATACCACTCCTATACAGCAGACAGACGAAACGTATGCTAGCTTCCAAAGAGACAGAATCAATGTTCAGGGATCAATGAAATAGGTAAGTCAGAACAAAAACAGGCAATGGGAGCAGGGACGTAGTAAAAATTATTTTTGGGGGGTGTCTTGTCTCTTTCAGGCTTATGAGATGACGTAGTGGCTCCCCCCCCCCCCTCTCATACTCCTTGTTTCATGAAATCTTGCTTCTTTTCGGGGGGTGTCCAGACACCCAGGACACCCCCCCCCCCCCCCTGGCTACGTCCCTGAATGGGAGCATTTCTGGAAGACATTAGACATTAGGAGACATGCCATCGGGTCCACACGACTTCGCAGAGATCTTCCAGTACTTTACCCCCTGAACATGTCAATGAGGAGACACATGAGGGGATTGGTTCACTTAGTGAACCTTAGTGAGTTCCTTGGTGAAAAATTAAAATAGATGCATACCATTCCATGCAGGGCTTCAGCTTTCTGGGAATCGAAGAATGCTAAATTTGCGTGGCATGCTGTGTGGCCATTGTGGTCAAAGTCGAAGGCGCGCAGAAGTAGGGTTAGATTGCAGAACTGGTGAACAAGGTGCCTAGGGGTGCCAAGCCGCCGGATACGTCGAAAAACCAAAATGTTCAATGTTCACCGAAACTACCAGATTTCATCACGGATCACCCCCACCTCTCCTGCGGTAGTACCAAACCTTGGAGGGGTTGAGCGCGTCTGTCTAGGAACGCCAGAAACCTTGAACATGCCCTTCCCAGCGGCTCCCAGCGGGAGGCGCGGCTCCGGGGGCTGACGGTAGAGGAGCAGTGGGGGGCGTTCAAGACGTTATTGCAGGGCTTTATGGAGGAATGCATCACCAAGAAATCCATCAAATCGGCCAGGCAACCGGTCTGGTTTACGGGTAAAATCAAAGCTCTGATCAGAGATAAAAAGCGGAAGTGGGATGCGTACAAGCGGACGGGAGATAGCACGGACTATGAGGAATATAGGAGGATCACGCGGACGTTGAAGCGGGAAATTAGATCTGCGAGACGGGAGTGAGAGGAACGGCTGGCTAGCGATGCTAAGAAGAACCCTAAGGCTTTTTATCAGTATGCTAGTGGTAGGTGTCAACAGTCGATCGGGCCGCTAATNCCACCTTCATGGTTTCATTCACCTACTTGAAATCTAGGCTAACCAGTTGCTTGATAAATATCCTGGTTCTTTTTGATAAATTTGAACTAGTCTATGTGAGTCTATGGGTCACATTGTCATGAGAATTTGAGTAGAGCCTGTATATAATCTAATTGCAGGTTTGCTGTTACAGGAGGTAAAGATAGCAACCATGTCAAACAGGTATAACTTGAAGTGGAACTCTCATCATGCAGAAACATTTCAAATCTTTGAAAACCTCCGTCACAGGGAGATGTTTGTGGATGCAACTTTATCTTGCAATGGGCAATTCTTGAAAGCCCACAAACTAATCTTGTGTGCAGGGAGTGGATATTTTGAACGTATCCTCAACAAGGATGGAGCAGGAACGCCCACCATTCACTTTTATGGTGTAGAAATGCATTTGCTGAAGCTTCTGGTGGAGTTCATGTACTGTGGAGAAGTTGAGGTCCCAGCTTCTGATCTGGAGAAATTTATTGAAATTGCTGAGAACTTGGAGGTGAAGGGACTGAAAGGTGATAAATCAAAGAGTAGTGGATCATATAATGCTGCTGGGACTACCATTCCTGTAGCTGATGTGGAGGATGCTTTGGCTCATAAGAGGAAGAGTGCTGTGCAGGCCTGGAAAGGTCTAGGGGAATCTCAGTATCCCCCTGTGAAAGTGCCAAGATCTCATACTGTGATGCCCAGAGCCAGGTCTCAGCAGTTCATTGGACCAAATTCTCAACAAAATGAGGCAGTATGTCTGCAGGCCTAGACTTCTCTGGCCAAAATTCACTGTTTTCAATTTCAATACTTGCATATTGGTATGCCAAGTATCACCCATGATGCTGTCTTTCCTATCCTTAAAATGACAATTTAAATTTCAGATTGCTTCCCCATCTCAAGCTCACCCAAACCAGGCAGAGCCAAGTACTAGTACATCAACTGATGAAGTGGTTATCAAGGATGAGGGTGAAGAGGAAGAGGTAGATAGCATTCAAGATGTGATGGATTCAGCTTCTGCAGCTGTTAGTTTTTCAGGGGATTCCTTACTAACTGTATTAATACCTGACACCTCAATATTAATTTGTGTTTATGGTATTCATAGGAAGAGAGTCAGTTTGATGATCAATCTCAAGCTTCATATTTTGGAGAGGGAATGGAAGGAGAACCTGAAGCACCTATGAATATCCCTCCAGAAGTTGACCCACAGGTTAGCACTTTTCAATATTTTTGGCATTTTACATTTTCCTTTCAAAATGGGCGAAATCGCCTCTTGATGTCACTATCTTGATCTTGATCTTGGCTCTGCAGCTAACATATACTGAGGTCTCCCTCCTAATAACCTCAAGGCAAGGCTGAGCTGCTCAGCGCTCTCGCAGTTCGTTTTGTTCTACTGGCAGCTGCTTGCCCAGGAGTGTCCTCTTTTAATGACGAGGTTGCGTCTAGCCTTGACGGAAAGAGGTGAATTTTTTTTTGCTAGCAGCTGCAATCGGCTGGAGCTAAGGACGCCCCCATAATCCTGCCCAGCGCAAACGTATGGGATTAAACAGCATGGCGGCTATCACCAATATTTATAGGGATTCAATAGTAAGGAGGGCGGATCTCTTACTACGGTTGGTCATGATGTGAGAAAGTACGTAAGTGCTCAAAATAGTGCAGCGTTTTGACTTTATTTAAATAAGCGAATCCTGGTCAGATGCCTTGGTTTTGGGGTGGATATATCGGACCACCATTTAGGAAGGACCTACGTCTAGCCTAATGCTAGGCTTGCAGTCTTCGTCTTCATCGGTATTTTCAAGTAATGCGAGGGTATAGGAATGGAGCAAAGTTCTGTATAAGCCCTGTCAAAAGGAAGAGGTGAAAGGTGAAATGAAAGTAATGTGGAAGTGAGGTCAAAATAGTCGCACCCAAACACCCATGCGGTGTACCCCTAACTGATATTGTGTTACCCCGAAAGTTTGGCTTAGTTAGGTTAGATTTAGGGACGAGCTGGAAGTCATGTTTCCTTGGTTCAGTTGATGACACCTACAGTCTATAGATGGGAGTTGGCTTTCTGGTGTGTAAAAGGACATTATGGTTTGGTCTAAAAGTCCTAAAAGTTGTTGCACTCTACAGAGTGATGGGTTGCATCATTTTACAAGTGCTATGCAGGGGTTCCACTAAGATTCTCGCCCTGGCCTCCCATGGGTCCCAAGACGCACAGGCAGAAGGCCTAAGACTGCTGGATTGAATATCACTGCTTGGTTATGTTAAGTCGGCAAATACACATGGATTGCTGGACTTTTAGGGAACCCTTCAAGATTCCCTTGTGCTTCACTTGGAAAGTTACCCCCTTAATTACCCCCCAGGACCCTCAGGTCTCATATGGAAGGGTCCCTGAGGACCCTTCCATATCAGACTTGAGGGTCCTGGGGACCAAGAAACCTAGTGCAACCCCTGGTGCCACGTATGTTGTTTTCAGCAATTTCACCCTAAGAGCACTTATTGAAATATAGGATTTTGCAAAAGTCAAGGTAGAGGGCTCACTTGAAACCTAAGCAATGTGCAGAGAAAATATCCCATAGTGAGTGATTTCAAAAGTTCATTTCAAGCAGGTGCCCCCACACCAATAAAGGATTTCCCCACTTCCCAATTTGAGACATCTTAAATTCATTAAACTGCATGTCATCTATTTCCTATCCTGGCATAGTGTAATACGTTTTTAAATGACCATGATATGAGCAGGATTTAGAACTAAATTCCTGAAGGTGATACTAATTTTGCCAGTGACTGTTCATGGCTTTTTTTTCCTGTGAACATGGCAGAGGAATCTAGTATTTTAGGCTCATTCTGATTGAATACTTGTCTTAGTTAGCCTTCATGAAACTGAAACTTTGGTCAGAACCTTTATCACCTCAATCTTTTTTATAACAAATTTTGCTAATAAATCATCTGGTCATGATATAATGATGATAGACTTAACCTGAGACAAGGATTACGCAAACCACCTTCATGGTTTCATTCACCTACTTGAAATCTAGGCTAACCAGTTGCTTGATAAATATCCTGGTTCTTTTTGATAAATTTGAACTAGTCTATGTGAGTCTATGGGTCACATTGTCATGAGAATTTGAGTAGAGCCTGTATATAATCTAATTGCAGGTTTGCTGTTACAGGAGGTAAAGATAGCAACCATGTCAAACAGGTATAACTTGAAGTGGAACTCTCATCATGCAGAAACATTTCAAATCTTTGAAAACCTCCGTCACAGGGAGATGTTTGTGGATGCAACTTTATCTTGCAATGGGCAATTCTTGAAAGCCCACAAACTAATCTTGTGTGCAGGGAGTGGATATTTTGAACGTATCCTCAACAAGGATGGAGCAGGAACGCCCACCATTCACTTTTATGGTGTAGAAATGCATTTGCTGAAGCTTCTGGTGGAGTTCATGTACTGTGGAGAAGTTGAGGTCCCAGCTTCTGATCTGGAGAAATTTATTGAAATTGCTGAGAACTTGGAGGTGAAGGGACTGAAAGGTGATAAATCAAAGAGTAGTGGATCATATAATGCTGCTGGGACTACCATTCCTGTAGCTGATGTGGAGGATGCTTTGGCTCATAAGAGGAAGAGTGCTGTGCAGGCCTGGAAAGGTCTAGGGGAATCTCAGTATCCCCCTGTGAAAGTGCCAAGATCTCATACTGTGATGCCCAGAGCCAGGTCTCAGCAGTTCATTGGACCAAATTCTCAACAAAATGAGGCAGTATGTCTGCAGGCCTAGACTTCTCTGGCCAAAATTCACTGTTTTCAATTTCAATACTTGCATATTGGTATGCCAAGTATCACCCATGATGCTGTCTTTCCTATCCTTAAAATGACAATTTAAATTTCAGATTGCTTCCCCATCTCAAGCTCACCCAAACCAGGCAGAGCCAAGTACTAGTACATCAACTGATGAAGTGGTTATCAAGGATGAGGGTGAAGAGGAAGAGGTAGATAGCATTCAAGATGTGATGGATTCAGCTTCTGCAGCTGTTAGTTTTTCAGGGGATTCCTTACTAACTGTATTAATACCTGACACCTCAATATTAATTTGTGTTTATGGTATTCATAGGAAGAGAGTCAGTTTGATGATCAATCTCAAGCTTCATATTTTGGAGAGGGAATGGAAGGAGAACCTGAAGCACCTATGAATATCCCTCCAGAAGTTGACCCACAGGTTAGCACTTTTCAATATTTTTGGCATTTTACATTTTCCTTTCAAAATGGTGTCATTTTTAATGATTTATCATTATATATTTACTAAATTTTCATTGTCTGAGTTTCCTCCAGTAATGTTTCATATGAAAGATTTCAAAGACTGTTGTTAGGGGAACTTTTAGAAGTGAAACTTTCAAAATCTAAGAGGAAGGAGAGGTTTTTTTCTGCTGCCATTCATAAGTAGTCTGTCTGTCAATTGTCTATTGGCTGTTGTCTGCCCTTCATGGTGCATTGTCATAAGAATTCTCACAAATCATTGTGAGATGTATTAGCATTAATTTCACAATCATTGAGCATTGGATTATTTTTTTTTAGGTATAATGATGCATTTGCAAATTGAAAAAGAGCACTATGTTAAGAAGAAAAAACTTTCAGGAATATGTTGATTGAAGAAGCAGGGGATAGATGAAGTAAGCTGCATCTTGGTAGCATAATAATTATTTTTGATTAGGGGGAAGGCTACTGTTATGGGCTGCTTTTTCATTTAATTAGTTTTGGTGGGGCCATCTTTAATCTTTCAGCCTGTATGGACCTCCAGCCCTTAATGTACGACTCTTGAGTAGGCCTGATATCATTGTTGAAGCAATTTACACTTTATTTGGTTTCTCCATGACTTACCATTATTAGTGATGACACATATCTATGATGGATATATGCTATCACCTGTCCCATTGATAGCTAAGGGCAACTCATTGATGGCATCACAGCTATCATTATGACAACCATTATTCTTATACATTTTCAAGACCATCCTTCTAAATTTGATGAGGTCTTGGCTGAAGCAGTCCAGGAATAACTTCCAATGTTCTGAATCATGGGCATTAAACTTAAATTCAACAGATGGGAAGTTACAATCCTCACAAGTAATTCTTATTAGCATAATGTTTGTGTTTGTGCAAACATTTATCATCGATAAATGTTTGTAAGTTGTCCAATTAGACCTTGTGAGATCTTATATTCATGTGCAAAATAATACAAAAATTGAAGCAGAACTTGTTATGGTCTTCACCAGCACCAGTAGTATATTAATAATATAGAAAAAAGTTTGTGCAGAATTCATGTACAGGGTGTTCAAAAAGTCACTGTGCAGTAGAATTAATTGATTTTGTTGCATGTATTTAGTATTGTACTGCGTATCACATGTATTCTATCATCAAAGACATGAATTTCCACGCAATACTTCATTGAATATTACCACCATCACATAATATATTGTCTGTAATTCCTAGCTACAGTGAGGCCTCCTACATCATGTCCTGAATTCTACTGCACAGTGACTTTTCGAACACCCTGTATAATAGCAGGCCTTTACTTGGTATTTCAGTAAGTTAGGTAAGAAATTGCATTAAAAATGTGAAAGTTTGTGGAGGGCTATCTTCTCAAGCATGAAGAGGTTTGCACTTCATCTGGTGCATGATAAGACCTGCCTTTAGCATCCCAGTTAACTGCCCTTTACCAAACACTCCCATCAAGTTAATGATATTGCCTTTGGAGACATGGACTCAACATGGCCTCACAGTCAATCACTCAGCAATGGCATTATGGTAAAGTGGGTGCAGGGAAACTGGTGATAGTTAAGCCATCATCTTTATTTTATTAATAAATTCCTTCCAAGTGTTTGTTTAAGATGTTTAATAGGATCCTCCCCTTCCCCCAAGTCTTACTTTCTGTTAGAATATATGGTGAGTTTTCTCTATGAGGAGCCATTCTATGACCTGAAACTAATCAATTTTGTAAACATTGCTCAACTCCTTTTTGGCTTAATTATTTTTTGGTGCTGAGAATTTATATTTTTCTAGATGCCAACAAACTCATGTTGTGGTCTAGTTGATTAAACTCATGAAACAGATATATCTTGATCACTTGGGCTAGCAGGCATGTCTTCAAAAACGATTTCTTTATGCTGTATTTTTTTGGTCCTCATGGGCTGATATCTCAAAAACTTTGAAAATGCTAAGCCTTGAAAAGCAAACCTGAATTTGGCAAGTGACTGTTTCACTTAGACCTTCAAGATAATAGCAGTCATTCAATCATGTATGTTGTGCTGTATGCTACAGCATGGCCAGTTCAGTAGTCTGAGCCAGAATCAGGTGGAATCATAAGTGATCCCTTCAGCCTTCTGTGACCCAAGGAAGGAAGGCTACTGGAATAGAAATTGATATATCTCCATAGACATTTAAGTTTCTTGAATCAGAGAAATCCACAAGCCAAAATACTCATAGGCGAGCAGGAACAGAATATTGTCTCGCAAAAGTTCCTTCACAAGAGTTGGTAGGCCAGGTAGCCCTAATATTGGAATACCTGGAAGGTATATAATTTATTGGTTGTGGATTCTCAAAGAAAATAAGCTATAGTTTCATCATAGACCAAGGTATGAAGTAGCGTACTCCATACCTTGCTCATGCATACACCTGAGACTGTGAGGACCTATTCTTGACCTAAACCTCATAAAAAGTCCCATGATGGTATAATTTCCAGCTTCAGATTAATTAGGACATAATGTATGAGCAAGATATAGAAAGCCTGGGTTATGATCAAACTGATCAAGCTCAGCCTCAGAAAGGCCACAGTGGGAATGGATAAATAAGCATAATTTTCCCTTCAGTTCTGATTATTCTCTTCCGGATAGCTGAAAAGACTGGCATGGGGAGAGAGGAAGAGACTTGACCACTTTTCTCAGAGGTGTGAAATGAAAATGTAAATTAAAACTGTATTAATTGGTCAACCTTGTGAGTATCTATTGATACCTTTACTGATCCTCATAATAGCAGTTGATAATTGATAACCTGGCATCAGTATTGGTGCATCCCTAGTTTGTGTGGTACATATAGTACCATGCATAGCCCAACAATATCATGTCATCTATAACATTGACATACTTCAGTTCCCTTTGTGTTAATGTGCCTTCACTACATTATTTCATATACTTTCCAGAAGGCACATATATATATATATATACCAGGGTGGCCAAACTTCTGACCTTATGAGCACCATGAAAAAATCTTCATATGGCCAAGAGCCACTTCATACACATATTCTCTCCTGCCAACACTCCAATTTTACTAAGGTTTTGGAGCTCATGAGCTGCTGCTGCTCTTCACTCTTCTACCATTTCACCATGAGCCATACTTGAACTGCCTGGGAGCTACAGTTTGACCATCTCTTTTACACTACTTTCAGATTGAATTTGTACTCCCCTCCCCCCCATAGGATTCCTTCCATTAATTGCAGGCAGTGACTCTTCCACATGGGTGGTTATGTGGATCCTCAGGAAGTTGTGCATTCATTTCTTCATTCTCCACTATCCAGGGGGAGAACAAATTTTGTTTAGAAACAATGTATCCTGACAGAGCAACTCTGCATGCACTTTCTGCCATGTAGAACCAAGTAATATTTATAAAAACAGAATAACATGCATGGTATGTTGTATGTATACCCAATCAATGCCCCCCCTCCTTCTCCCAGGAACAGGTGATAATGGAAGTTCATAATTTTAAAAATCCCATGTATGTTGCAATGTGTCCAACCATGGATACAATTCCTTTTTTTGGACCTCACAAATGTACTCATGAGTACTGCTAGACATTGGCAAATGTATGTAAGCATAAATAGATCATGTTAGTTGTATGGATTTACTGTATGTTGTTTTGCATCCTTACATTTCCATACTGTGTCCCATACATGTATAAATAGATGTGACTAGGCATAGCTACACATGTTATGAGTTGTTTTTTCGTCACATGGGTGCACGCATGGTCAGGTAATACATACATAATTGTACATATTTTCATCCATGATGTCCTCACATGGGCCAAGCTGCCCTGTCATGTATAGTGCAGTGTAGTGGCTTAACATTAAAGAAGGACCATGGACAATGATTGGACTGCTCACAGGAAACACCAAATGGGGTAAGTAAAGTATCCATAAACTTTTTTCATTGGGAATCTTGAAACTTTCATTGTGAAAATGATGTTACAGTGTAGAGATTATTACCTGACAAAAAATCTTAAGAGTGCATACAGTAGGCTTAGGCCTTTGTTTCCAGTCAGTTCTAGCATATGGTAGGCATAAGCCAGAGCATTTGTAGCTTACCTATTGTTTGTGTTTTCATAATGCCTAGCATCATCTCATATGGTAATGTATGCAAGTTAACATCTTGGTTAACAGTTATGGTTATGCTATTAATAGCTCATATAGTACTTCTTGCATGAAACATATATGGGGCGCTTAAATCTGCAATATATGCAGAGGCATGCAATGAATCATAAGCTAGGACTACCTGTATTGTCATGGACAGAATTGAATGTATGCTGGGTCATCCACAGGATAGGCCAAAAGTCAGCTGCTCCAGTATTTCATGCTTTTTATCCAAAAATAGTCAGGTTTTTTCACTTTTGGGATTATATTTCAAGTTAACATGTAACAAAAAATGTAAACATTTATTTTCCCCCCTCATTAATTCACTAGTGTGAGATCTGGAGAATCCACAGGCCACTCAACTGGGCCTCTATGGCTTATCAAACAATCTTTGTTGGTGGCATTCAAAAACCAATTTGCATTTAAGTGGAAATCTTGTGATGCTCTATCTTGTTGCCAGAACATATATTGAAACAAGGGATTGCTTCATAGCACTGAAATGACGTTGCTCCTTAATATGTAAAGGTAGGAGTTGTCTATTACTGTTGCCTCAAAGAAAAAGGGCCCAATGATTCCATGAACTCCCATCTCCTCCCATCTAACTCCCATCCACACACAATCACTAAGCACATTCAAATCTTCAATGGAATTGTGGGGGTTTTTATTGACTCAGGAAGAACAGTTGTGATGATTGACATGTTTGCTGGTTTTGAACAGTTTTATCATCCCACAAAATCTCGCCCTCCTTAACTCCTGGTTCTGATCATGGAAAATCTCGCCAAATTGGAGTTATCTGGATTATCACTGCTGGATTGAATTTTGTGGCATGCTGGCATGCCATGTCAGTCAAAAGAGATTGATATGGTAGTGAAAGTGTTAAGGTATGGATTATGTGAGAATGAAGAGGCTTCAGGTACAGATGTCCTGGGTGTACCTCATTCAGCTGAATCACACCAAGTTGACTTCCCAGGGCTGGCTACGAAGGCTTCTGCTGCTGTATTTTGGTTTTCTGGGGTCTGAACTGTTCTCAGATGGTCATTCCTAGGGGCATCATTGACAAAACTCCATGTGTAATTTGTAAATGCCATGTCTTGTTGGAGATGGAAAACCTGCTAACTGATTCATGAAACTCGTGCACTTCTCAAATGTACTGATACTCTTCCACCAGTGTTGCAGAAAGAAGATACATGAAACTATTAGAAACAGGTGAGCCTTATTTTATTAATTTTAAATAATTTTATTAAGTAATGAATCTGCAGGGAAAAAAAAAACTTGGATAAACTAGAAGCAACAGGGAACATGATATTTGTAGGTATTTGTAGATGATATGCAGGAAAAGTGAACAATTTTCTGGGGCAACTGACTTCTAGGCCACCCTGTATTTTATTAATTGTGAACATTTCTGTTATGCATGTCTGTATTATCTATTAAACCCTTCCTGAGAAACATATACTTCAAGAAGAGATCTTATATATATGATTCCATCTCCTCACACATGATACTTATTGGATGGAGAAAATGCATGCTACCTAGTGGTGTATCGTATATCAATTTGCTTTGTGGATTTTATACTTGAACATATATTTTCTAATATATGTAGCCATATGCCTAGTTTATAAAACCTGGTTTTTGGGCAGGTGAGATGGCCACTAAGTCCCTGTTTTTTTTAATCATTTAAACCTTTCCAGGTCAGTGGGTTCACTTGGACCCATTAATTTCATTAGTGCTTAGCTGCTTTCATTTCACTCACTGTCCCCACTTGGAACCCTGTGTGGCTTGCCATGGATATCAACTTTAGGGCTTGGCAGCACTTAATTACAACTTGCAATACAAGTGGAGACAATGACGTATTGAAAGAGGCTGTAGACCGATGAAATTAATGGGTTCATATGGGCCAGAAAGGCTTAAAATCATTGCAATTACAGGGTGCTAAGTATCACATGCTCTATGCCATGATTGTTGCTATAATTTTCAGAGCTGAGACAGAGGAAAAGCTTAGGGGCTCTGATTGTGCCTATGTGCATGAAGAACTGTCTTTAATGAATCGTATTGGGTATATTTGATTTCCCCGAGGAATAGCATATGTGTACTAATGAATGTAACCATCATGCAGCTTCTGTATATGCAGAGAAGAAAGATTATTAAGAGAAGAGAAAAACATTATAAAATGTACAGATCACAAACAAGTGGGTGAGTGGAAATTTTGCTGGACTGTGTAAGGCATAACAGTATGATAGCACCTATGGTTTAACCTCTTCAGGGTGTATGATGTATATATCAATCATGGTGAAATGTTCCTCAGGGATGTTTGGCTTTTTTTCTCATCCCATTATATTTTGAGTTAGTGTTAAATATGAATTCGAAACTTGAAATAGGACTATAAACTCGAGAAAGAGTAGTACATTTCTTACACAAACACAAATAGTTATTCTCGCAAAAATAATTTCTGATTCTGTTGGTAGGCTTCCATCCGAGAAATTCCCCTCTTAAGGGGTTAAGATAATAGTGCTCGGGTTTCATAGATTTCTACCTATGATGAAAGTTTATCCATATTATTCGAGAATACCATGACAAAGATGCTAAGTGTACTTAGTAGTATAAAAGACAAAGCCATGACTCTCAACAGCATATCATCAAGGAGACCATCATTTCCCATACTTTACATCTGTCAGTTTTGAACATCTTCACCTACCATGGTGCCTTCATCAGAATCCTGGAATGTTCCCCCTTAACCCTTTGAGGAGAGAGTTTTCTTGGTCCTCCTTGGATGTTTTGAAGAAAAAAAATTCACTGAGGCCCCTCAACAGTGTATATCTTGAAAGGTTTTGGTCATCATGTGATAGATACTATTCTGTTTTAGCATGTGAAAGGGCAAAAAATGCAGTGAACTCAAAGTGGGTAATTTATGCAAAACTGGAAATTGAAATTTCTTTGAAATTTTGAAAACTTGTTTATGGGTATACTCCTCAAAGGGTGAAGCCACTTGAGATTTATCCCACAATTGAAGTATTTGCTTTTCATGCTTACCTTTCACCTTTTTTCATGCTTCAGAAATTTATTTGAAGGACAAACCCTGCCTACATCATTAGTCTTAAGCTTAAGGAATGATCAAACTCACATTAATCAAATAATCAATCTCACATCTTGTGAGTTTGATTGATAATAATAGTAATAAAAACTAATAATAGTAACTATTATTTTAAAACTCCAACTACTTTTCACAATATAATATCTTAACTTCATCATTTAGAAATAGTTCCAGCTGGATATTTGCATGCTTCCAGGACATTATATTTTTTTTTACTTCAAAGCAAGTCTGGTACATTTGGGGAGGAAACAGATATACAACTGTTGTGCTACTGATATAAAATACCTGATTTGTACCTCAAGAGCTAGTCAAACGACAAGGAACACACGTCCAGAACAGCCATGCTTAGTAAGTGTATTTTCTGGTACAATTTTATCATCAATGTATCAATGTTTAATTTGTCAAAAAGCTAGTGGTATTAAAAAAGATTGAATTTCATTGGGTATGCATCCTTTATGCCATGTTAATTTTATTATTTAAATTAATTCTAATGAATTTGGTGCTCTAGACTGTTAGGGAGAAAGGGAAATATCTACAACCAATGAAAACTGTGGAAACTTGTGCACTGTGCATATGTGCATTGCATGTTTGGTTGATTTTTATTTTTTCTTGCTTGAGTCTAATAATGTGAACAGGGTCTGTATTATAATTCATATGGCCTATTAAATCTTGTCTAAGCCACCAAAATGTTCAGAGGAAGACATATGAGTGAAAGTAATTATATTTTTATTCTGTTATAGACTGTTGGCTACTGTCAAAGTTTTGTTTGGAGTGGCCAAACATCCTCAGGCTTGAGGCAATGGTTCTGCAGTGCATGTAACTACAAAACTCATCGGAAGGACCATGCTGTGCTACATAGTCGTAAACACAGTAAAGAGAAACCCTATGCCTGCACAATGTGTCCCCGTCGCTTCTCTCAGAAATCTGGTCTGAACTATCATATTTTTGCTCATCATATTAATGCACGAAAGTAGGTGAAATTATCAGTACTAAATGCTGAATATCCATGCTGCATATTAGTGATCACATTTACCAGCCAGCCTTGGTCTGCTGTTATTGTTTTGGAAGTTTCCAATTTATATCAGGTGTGTCTAAGGGTTTTGGTGATAAGTGAATGTGTTGAGCATCCTGAGAATCATTTGTTGGACATTCATCTTCATTTATCTTTGCAGGAAGATGAATGAACCAAGGAAGAGCATTGCCATGATTCTTTGATGTCTCATATGTTGATTTGCTTGTAGAACCAAAAATATAGCATATATTCCTTTGCCATAGATATATAAAATTGTCTGTTTTGTCTTTTAACTACAACATCAATGAATCCTGTTATATTTTCTTATGTGCAACTGGTTGAAGGTCTGTTGTTCAGCTATACTGGGTGATACAATAAAACTGTCTCTTTTGGACATTTTTCTGAATGTAACTCTTTTTCCTTTCTTCCTTTATCAAACCTCCATTCATCTGCTATATCTATACATGCATTTTCTCCAATTGGAGAGGGTCATTATTATAAATACTCATTGCTGTGCTAAATCAGCTGCCAGGTGAGTTTTGTGTATCATATCAAAGTCTCATTCTCATTTTCTATAGCAAGTTTGAATTTACTTTTCGACTTGGTTGTTCAGAATACAGGATGGCTATGAAGTCAAGACAAATTTCTTATTGTTTTTCTCTTTTCCTCTTAGTATCAGGTATAACAAGAAAATGATGCATACATACATGTGCTAGGGAGGCCTTGGGAATTTTATTGCTGCTAACCAGGGCATTGGGGCATTGGCAGTCATTAGAATTAACCTCTGAAATGGCATCAACTTTGCTGCCAACTATAAGCAGGTTTTCATGCTGCTGATGCCAGTGCCCCCCATACAAAACCAAATTAAAAATAGAATGGAAGACCAGTTGTACATGTGACTGTGACCTGGCACCAGACCCCTGTCTCATTTTTCAAGGAAAGGAACTGGTGCTACTGGCCTTTCCTTGGCAAGAAATCTACAGGGTTGTCCCAAAAGAAGTGAGCCTCTACCTATATATGTAATTGTAACCAACATAAGTGACAGCTATCAAATAAAGACATTGTTCTCAGTCTTATATAATTTCTCTTTGTTACATCAATACAAATTCTTGATATGTAATAATTTCTATTTAATGATGTCTTGCAATTTGGGCATTGCTGTCATATAATGCACTACTATGACTGAAGGGGCAGGGCATGCCAGGAATTAGCTAATTCTATTTCATTCAAATCTTCAATGCCCTGGATTTTGTTTTGTTTGAACTTTCTGCACGACAAGGAAAGTAAATAGCATGAATTCTTTTTGCAAAAGGTTTTTTTGCATCTTTTTCCAGACATTTGCAAAACATCAGGCATAAACGTTGACTTCCAGCAAGGTGCTGGCATCTCAGGCAATTGTTTACTTCTTGCAAAATGGAGAACCAGACATTATTGAACTTCCATGTGACCCTCCAATACAGACCCTGTAAATTACTTTATATGGGATATGTTGCAAGATAATTTCTTCCAAGACAAAAGCCAGAAAATTGGTTTGAAAGGGGCAATTGTTGACAAGCTGTGTCTCTTGGCTCATAGCATTCAATTGGACAATGGCACATACAATTGTAGACCACCATTGACCACATTAGAGTAAATATTTATTTTCTGTTTTTGGAAGAGAGAAATCATATTTCATTCAGAAGAATGATTTTGTATCATAGCTGCCACTGCCATGCATTATAATTAGATCTATAGATAGGGGCTTTCTTATATATTTTTGGGCCTCTGTGTATATAGGACATATGTATGATTCAGTCTCTCTGCATTGACTCATGTGTCAAATAGAATGCTGGCACCAAGCATTCTGCAGGATTTTCATTTCTTTTCCGAGAAACAGCAGGTGTGGGGAAGGTATGACAAATTCCAACTCTACTATAAAGCCCCATACTCCATGTTACATCATTCAACATAATAAGAAATCCAAATAGTGGATTTTGAGCTTAAGGGGACCAGAATTTGCATCACCTACCCTATGCAATTTTCTGGTCAAGATCATAGGTTTTCACCCCCCAGGCAAAAATATATTTTTTACATACACTTGAACTAGTTTGTTGCTGGAACTGAATGAAGTGATGAATCATCCCACTGGACCCCCTGTGTGACTCTCCATTCTCCTGGAAAATATGCATGTATTCCTAGCCACTTTGCATATACTCAGTCTTAAATCAACCATCAGGTATTAGACATCTCCTGGTTCTATGTGCATCTATGTGGTTTCATTTTGAGAGGAGGGTTCTGAATTTGCAATTTTCTGTATGCACAAGTATTGCTCTCCCTAGAATGGGAATATAAGACTGGCTCTGTGAACTTGTGTTTGTCAGTAGGATACCCACATGAAAATTCCATGTATGACAGGGTGTATGATTCTATATGGTCATGTATGATCATATATTTGCCATATACCACCATATATGTATTCATATATTAACAATTGTATGGTGTATAATATATTTTACCTGCATTGCAATATTAAGTCTGATGGGAAAATGGCATCATGTCTGATATGTGGTGAATATCCATAGACAGGTCTTATGGTTGTAAGTAAAACATGGCATGAGGTCAGTGGTGTATTTTGGCTGAAGAGTCAGGGGGGACAGGGCAGCAGAGTGGGGGCACCAAACCCTGTCCTTGGGATGCTGAGGGGGGGGGGCACCCCCCTGCCCCCTTCCTGGAAAATATGCCACTGCATGAGGTTGTTACACATGAGGGCAATTGACCTTCAGATGTCTCAGTAACTAATTTTTAATGCACCCATTATATTTTATATGAAATATTAGCTATGTATAACCTTGAAAGAAATTTGCCAAAAGTTTGATTTTGAACCCCCAGCTGAAAGTCCTAGTTGGAAACGGCTAAATTTCCAGCTGGACCCCAGTTGGAAATTCAGACCCATTACTTTCCCATACTTTCCTGCTGGCTGGAAAGTAAAGTCATATCCAGATTGTTCCTAATTGCAATGCATTGGTGGAATGAGAATGTTTTTGTTGGCTATTCTTGCTGGAGGTCCATCTATAGAAGCAGCTGAATTTCAACTGCAAATTCAGCTGTATTCCAACTGAAGGGTCCTCTGAATAAAATTCTAACAGTAAATTTCCAGCTGTAAAACAGCCTGTAATTACCATTTTCCAGCTCTTTGCCAGCTGGAAATGGTCAGAATATACAGCTTCTGTCCACCTGAAAATTTCCAGTCAGGGTTTCAAACTGGGCCCTACCCTTTCTAGGTAACATAAGCGTATCGAGGATGAAAAAAGTGCAGGAGGGGGGGGGGGCACAAGAACTCTGGGACACTGTTATCATGCATTTCATGGATCTTTTTCTTCGTACCAATGTGTTTTTTGTTGTTAAGTGGGGGGCACATGTCGTGCCATGCTTTCATTGAACAATTCCATCATTGGATTATTTCTGGAAGAAATAGGTTTTTTTCCCATTAATTTGTGAGTTGTCATTCAAGATGAAGAAGACACTCCTACATGAATAAGCCAGTTTTTGTCATGAAATAGCATTACTGATGAAAATACTTGTGAAGGTTAAAGTCTATAATATTGAAACTTTCACCTTCATTAACAAGGGTGCATATGTTGAACACCATGAAACATGCATTCT